TTTATCACATTGATTTAAATAGGATAATCTTGTACCATATTGATAAAAAAGAAAATGTTTTCCATTCATTGTTATTAACAACATGAAGTGCATTAAACATTATATTACATCATGGTTTCCCAAACTGGGTTTGTGAAGGAACTGCAGGGGGTTTATGAGTTTTTAATGAAAAGATAATATTATATATATGTATACAGTATATAATTTGTATACCTGCATGTCATGTGGTCATAACCAACGTCAGACAACCATGAACATGCAAATGTAATATTTAATTGTAATTTATTTTAAAATATTATTCATAATTAAAAGATGATTTTGTCAAAAATGCATCAGAGTGTGATTGATTGACTTGGCAGCATCAAATAATCATTTATTGCGAACTGAGTGGCACTAAACGACAAAAACTGTTAAAAAGCACAAAAGAAAAATGATGTCCATTGAGAGTTAAAGGGTTAAACATGATCAAACACTAAACAAACCCGTCCTGAGGTAAAAACTCGATACTTCCCTCAGCAACAATGTTAACGCTTGCCAATGTTGTCTCAAACAGATACACGCACACAAGGGAGAGAAATAAAAGCTTGGTGGACAGTGGTTAATTGAGTTCACCTGGTTATTAGACAGAAGGAAAATACTGAAATTGATGTCCAGAAAAGAATGAACTCACCCACTCTTCAACGGTAGACTAATAAGTGAGAAATTGCGCATCCTGCTGGTAATTTGGATGAATCACAACGAATGAATGCGCGTAGAGGCAGGACAGTAAGGTTTACCCACATAACCTGCCTACTCATTCACTCATTCATCACGAACACGCACACGGTGAAAAGCAGGGATGACTCACCGGGCGCACGCCCACGCATGCGGACAGAAAGTGAGAAGTGCCAGTATCACCGCCTCAACAGCACTGAGTCACACTACAGCACTACTGAGACAGTCACCACCAGAACTGCTCCAGGACACAAACATATAGACCACATCACACAACATAACCTCTTCTTATACATTGTTATTATTACACTTTCAAAGAACTGTAACGAAGACAATAAAGACAGCAAGACTTTAACAAGCCACCAAACAAAACAGATTAACACTCTTGACTGTGAGCTAGTGCATCTGGCGCATGACTACAAGCTCATCTGTTACTGTTTTCCCCTGTAATCTTCCCTGAATCATAGTGAGTCTCCCTTCGCTCCTTCTAAATGGTCTCCTTCTCCATTAGACATGCACACAAACTTAAACAGGAAAGAAGACCTACTAAACCATTTTCTGAGAACTCACTAGTAACCATTCCCTGCATCCCTGTGGAGATTTAAAACATTTTCCAGGCTCACTTTAAAAACCCAGTTTGGCAGCTCTACAAAAAGCTGAAGGAGACAATGAGGGCAGTGAAACTGGAAGGAGATGCGTCACAGATTCACACAGCCGATCATTCCTGCTGTAAGTCACGACTGTGACTGAGGCACGTCTGACCTTCCTCAAAGTTAAGATCAGGTGAACAAGACCCCAGTCACCCTCAGTTCTCTGCCAATTTAGGAGGGATGAGAAAGCTTAATAGTAAAAACCTGAAATGAGGGAAAGTGAGGGAGAAGGCAAAGTAAATGCTGAGGATCATGTAGCAACAAAGTCTTCTCACAAGCACTGCCTGCCTCTGAAGTAATGTGATCTAGCATGTGTAAAATGATAGGGCTAAACTGAAGGATACAATCCATAATTCAATAGAGACAAAGTTTAAGGAAGGGATGGACAGGCAGTGAGATTAAAGTGAAGGTAATGGTTTTGCAATACAAGAAAAGGTACTTGCTCGCAGTATTAAAATATGTTTCCCACAAACTTTAGCCAATGAATTTCCACGACTTTGCTAGTCGATTGTGGTTACCTCAAGATGTGGTTACATCATGATTTTCATTTAAATTTCAAAGACATTGCTGGAGTAGATTTCTATTTCAGTATGGGCACCAATCCATCAATAAATAGTTGTAAATTATTCTTATAATTGCAGAGATGTAAATAAGAAATGAAGTAAATACCCTGCGATTTGAATGCGATGTATGGTGGAAACAGATAGCATATTTTACATCAGCGCATAACTAGAAAAATATTCACACAATTAGAAATCAGAAATTTGTTTTAAATTAATTTCTGGTAACCACAGTTTAAAAAAATGTCCAGGCTTTCCATGATTACAAGAGGGTTCCTTTGATCATAGAAAGACTGAAAATGTTTTAATTAGGTAAACAAAGCAACAAATCATTAAATCGCAAAAATCCAAGGTACCTTTAGACATTACTAATTAGACTTTAGTACATGCTATTAAATCATTTAAAAATAAATTGAAATATAAATACCAAAGGTTGCCACAAACCACACCGAGGAATGTTTTAAGAAGCACTTTAATGGCAGTCCAAACATGCATGCAGCACTTGCCGACATTATATATATATATTTTTTTTTGATACATTAATTTTCATACTGTTTCTTAACTATATAAATCAAAGTTCTGCCATTTTAACAAAGTTCTATACATCACATTGTTTAAAACACAAAGGACTTCATTCTTTACATACAAAACACAGGCTAAACACACAGCTCATGATAGCTGTTAAGTTGGGAGAGGTTAACTCAAAGCCTCCCTATTTGTGCAGTGAGAGACACATTTAAGCAAATAAATAGAAAATAAAAGCTGAAATACTGAAGTGCTCTTATTCTGTACAAATTAGCATATATAGCATTTCAAATGCCTCAGAGGGCAAGATGATTCCAAATTAAAACACTGGCAAACAAAACTAAAAACCAAAAATGCAAACCAACTGTTCTTACAGAGCACATTGTTAATTTCTATTTATGTTTATGGGTACACATTACCAGGTCAAACAGGTAAGAGCACAGCTGTTTTCATTGTTGCCTGCTTAATTATGCTGTTTGTTGCCTTGGTAACCATGCAGTGACATCTACTGTGGTTATAGTGAGATCACTGACAAGCGAACAGTTTGATCCTTTAGGGGACCGATGGCCACGCATTGTATCCATTTGAAAAGACACAGAAAACTAGGATTTTTTTCCATCCCTGAAGAGACCAGGAGGAAAAAAAAAAACAACATAAAGAAATTGATTCTGACACAATTAAAGATACAATCTATAATTACCACCACAGCACCACTTGTACCTCAAAACATTAAAGTATTGTGTTTAATGAGGCTATAGATGAATAAGAGCCCAGTTTTGTTGTCTTTTGTAGTTGCACTACAATTAATTGTCTACAAGTAGCAGCAATCACAATTTGTGATTATGTATTGGTGGATTCAGAATGCACCAGTACAGTAACAAATCTTTTTACTTGAAGCCAAGAAAGCAAATGAAAAATCATTCCAATCCATTAAAATGGGTTAAATTATTTAAATTAGTTACATCTGGGGAAATAGCATCACCAATAACGAACGTAAAGCATCACCACCAAGCCTCTCTGCATTTTTTAAGATACAGAAAATGTTATATTTCCAACAGAATTTCACTGATTCAGATTGTCTATCCATGCTTTTCAATTAGTTGGGATATTTGGAATGCAAACATGAATAACTTTTATAAATTTTAATCAACAAATGAAAATCTAACTAAACATCTACTGTGTGTTTGTGCTCTATCGGAGCAAATCGCTCAAGAATATTGCTTTTTAGACTTGCAATGTTAATTTCAACTGGTTTGCTATCTGCTTGATACTTGGTCAACATGCATTCAAGAGAATAAAATGCAGCCATTTCTTTGGGCTTGAATATAATTTTTTTTAACGTAAATGCTTAGTATATTAGCCTTAAATACATTTACGTCTATATTCTCTGTCCTTCAAGTTGTAGTCCTGAGCGAGTAGGACTAAAATTAACATTGCATGATCATCCAGCTGGCTGTTCTAATAATTATGAGGTCATATTCTAAGGTTAGTGAGAGAGAGAGAGTGCAGGAGAGAGGACAGATGGTAGGACCACCACATTCAGAGTATGTGATGAATAGTGTCAGGCAGTGGACTCAAGCCCGCTGCGTAGAGGAGCCGATCTCTAACGGACATTGTTTTATGGGGTCAAAACTCTCATTAAACTTCACTGTCAAGGCTTCAATTTAAGATGTACAATCTAAAATTTAAAAGTTTCTGGTTCTGTCTCGTTGAGACTTTGTAGTTACGCAGCCCCTTTTAAAAAAAAAACAAAAAACACAGGAGCTGTGTTAGATTACTGCAGACAGACATCGGCATGCTACATTAGTTGTGATAATTCTGTTCTCTGAAACCTACGCCCTAACGCTTACTTCATGTTTTTTTATTCTTCTATTGTTGTTTTCCTGTCTCAGTCAGACCACTCATTTTCGTCCAGCTCAGAGTCTTCGTCAGATTCGCTGTACTCCACGGCGATGCGACGGGACAATATAGTGGCTACGTCATTTCCAACCGGCTCCTTCTTTGCTTCCTGCTCCCGCTGTTCTTGCACCTTGCGCAGCTGGATCCCTATGACAAAAAAAAAAATGGAAAAGTGAGAAGTAAAACCAGAGATAAGTTGCATTAACATTAATTTGTTTATTATTAAAAGGATGAATCTTACAAAACCTCTCAAGAACTGATAAGAAATATGGCTCAGGCCATATTTCACACCATAATAATAATAATAATAATAATAAATGAATGTTCGAAAGTCTGTTTTTTTAAAGATTTTTAAAACGTTTTTTTTTTAAAGAAATCTTACATTCACCAACGCTGCATTTATTTGATCAAAAATAGTAATATTATGGAATATTATTGCGATTTAAAATAACTGTCTTCTATTTTAATACATTTTAAAATGTAATTTATTCCAGTCAGAAAACCCTGAATTTTCAGCAGCCATTATTTCAGTTTTCAGTCTCACATGATCTTTCAGAAATCAGTCTCATATGCTCAAGAAGCAATTGTTTTGAATGCTGAAAACAGTTGTGCTGTTTAATATTTTTGTGGATTTTTTCCAATATTCTTTGATAAAATAGAAAGAACAGCCTTTATTTGAACTAGAAATCTTTTGTAACATTATAAATGTCTTACTGTCACTTTTGATCAATTTAATGCATCCTTGCTGAACAAAAGTTTATATTTTCTTAAAGAAACAAACAAAACAAATGGACCCCAAACTTTTGATTGTTATATTATAGAATATAAAAGTTTTTAAACTGTGAAATTTTAGAATGCTGCCAATTCTCGTTATCATAAGGCAAAAAAAACAAACAAAAAAACATCTGACACCATAACACTCAAACCCCATGTGTTTATGTGTGACCTCTGACCTCGTCTGATGGCCGCCAGCAGGTCGCTGCGTGCATCGCTCATTGGGATGAGAGGCACCTGGCCCTTCCTGGGGACAACCGGTGCTTCCGCAGGGGCAGCGGGCATGGTGTGTGAGTGAGGGTGCGGGTGGGGGTGTGTGGGCGGCCCAGGTGGAGGTGGAGGGGGGGCTGCGGGAGGAGGATGGGTTGGGGAAGGGGTGTAGGAAGCAGGGGGGGCAGGGGTTGTGTGATAATTCTGTTCTCTGAAACCTACGCCCTAACGCTTACTTCATGTTTTTTTATTCTTCTATTGTTGTTTTCCTGTCTCAGTCAGACCACTCATTTTCGTCCAGCTCAGAGTCTTCGTCAGATTCGCTGTACTCCACGGCGATGCGACGGGACAATATAGTGGCTACGTCATTTCCAACCGGCTCCTTCTTTGCTTCCTGCTCCCGCTGTTCTTGCACCTTGCGCAGCTGGATCCCTATGACAAAAAAAAAAATGGAAAAGTGAGAAGTAAAACCAGAGATAAGTTGCATTAACATTAATTTGTTTATTATTAAAAGGATGAATCTTACAAAACCTCTCAAGAACTGATAAGAAATATGGCTCAGGCCATATTTCACACCATAATAATAATAATAATAATAATAAATGAATGTTCGAAAGTCTGTTTTTTTAAAGATTTTTAAAACGTTTTTTTTTTAAAGAAATCTTACATTCACCAACGCTGCATTTATTTGATCAAAAATAGTAATATTATGGAATATTATTGCGATTTAAAATAACTGTCTTCTATTTTAATACATTTTAAAATGTAATTTATTCCAGTCAGAAAACCCTGAATTTTCAGCAGCCATTATTTCAGTTTTCAGTCTCACATGATCTTTCAGAAATCAGTCTCATATGCTCAAGAAGCAATTGTTTTGAATGCTGAAAACAGTTGTGCTGTTTAATATTTTTGTGGATTTTTTCCAATATTCTTTGATAAAATAGAAAGAACAGCCTTTATTTGAACTAGAAATCTTTTGTAACATTATAAATGTCTTACTGTCACTTTTGATCAATTTAATGCATCCTTGCTGAACAAAAGTTTATATTTTCTTAAAGAAACAAACAAAACAAATGGACCCCAAACTTTTGATTGTTATATTATAGAATATAAAAGTTTTTAAACTGTGAAATTTTAGAATGCTGCCAATTCTCGTTATCATAAGGCAAAAAAAACAAACAAAAAAACATCTGACACCATAACACTCAAACCCCATGTGTTTATGTGTGACCTCTGACCTCGTCTGATGGCCGCCAGCAGGTCGCTGCGTGCATCGCTCATTGGGATGAGAGGCACCTGGCCCTTCCTGGGGACAACCGGTGCTTCCGCAGGGGCAGCGGGCATGGTGTGTGAGTGAGGGTGCGGGTGGGGGTGTGTGGGCGGCCCAGGTGGAGGTGGAGGGGGGGCTGCGGGAGGAGGATGGGTTGGGGAAGGGGTGTAGGAAGCAGGGAGGGCAGGGGTCGGAGGAGAAGGGTTGTAAGTCTGGGAAAGAGATGGCATGGCGCTGGCTGGGGCAGAGGAGGGGCCAGTGGGACTGTCAAAGGCAGTCTGGGCAGAGGGAATGAGAGGAGGAGGTGGAGGAGGAGCAGGAGGTACGAAATACTCTCGATGCTTAGACTGCTGACCACTGAGATGAGAAAAGAAATGAATCAAACCAAACACATTAACTGCACTCAGGAGATGAGCTATAAGCCTAGAGCTCACTGCAAGATGCAAATTCATTGGCCTTTTATGTTTTAAATTTGAGCATGTGTCATGCCAAACAACGAACAAACAAAATTTTGTTTTGATGTCAAAAATCTACTCTCAAATACTTATTGTTATTGTAAACTAAAGCAAACAAAATTAAAAACTGTTATTGTTAATCGAAATAAAGATGAATTAATAAGATACATTTGATAAAAAAAAGTGAAAATTGGAAAACAAAACCTGAAGTCAAACTAATTTAAGTACTACAATAGCTCAAACAAATCAATATAAATTATAGATAAAAATGGCAAAACCACATAACAAAAAAGCTGATTAAAATGACAAAAGCTCTAACAAAATTACTCAAATTTAAACCAAAATTAAAATGAAGAAAAATCTAGAAAACTAATTCAAAATATTAATAGATACTATAATAGTATATAAATAATACTAAAATTATGCGTTTGTGTGTTAACAGATAGCTAGTGGTATAAAAACGTGATAGCTACAGACTGATAAAAATGATTTTTTAGTTGACACAACTAGTCTGTGATTTGTTGTGCAAAATCTCATAACTTTACCAAAACTAGAAACTGTGAGTCTGTGAGACCATTGTCTTGTTTTGAGTGTTTGGCCATAGAAATGATGCTACCTAAATTTTACACATGATCATATATGTTTTGTAGGCTATTTAGACTCTATCATAAATGATAAACAGAGCAATTCCAAGAAGGTCCTCACACCACTGGTGCTCAGGCCCTAAAAATGGAGCATTTAGACTAGGGTTTTGCAACCCCTAGGGGTTCATGGTGGAACTGCAGGAAGTTCATGGGACAGAGTAAATGATATGCAAACACAAACTGAATAAAATACATTATGAAGTAAAATCAAGTAAAAAAATTATAACATTATACTCTAATCTTACATACAAAATCATTCAGTCATTCAACATATTATTCATTATATTTACTGAATGGTTAGAATGTTTATTTGAATTTTTAGTGGGTATTTCATTTAAATAATTTAGATGATTAGAAAACTCTGCTTTACACCCTTTATATTACGGAGAGTTACTGAATTAAGAAAAGCCGAAGAATAACAGACCTGTAGTCTTTAGCCTGCAGGGGACGTGGCCCGTTGAGAGCGGGGTCTGTGACTGCTTGTCCATGGGAGGTCTGAACCCTGCCAATGGTCTGTCTCCCAGGTGGAGCGGAGGAGGAAGCGGGTGGCCGATACCCACGGTCCAGGGACTGGGTCTGGACATGAGAGGGGGCCATGAGGTGCTCTTTGCCATCGGCAGCGGAGTAAGCGCTGGTCACAGCCATCTGCTGAGCCGGGTGACTGGGGCTGCCTGGGTAAGAGTGCTCACCCATGTCTGAGGCAACCGACCTGATGATGGAAAAGACACAGAGAAAGATAGACAGTTGTGAGAGTGGGAAAAAAGGAAAAGAGAGAAATATTAAATGCAAATATCTTTAAGCAATCTTGAGCTTTAAAAAGAATATTATGGATTCCAAAGTTCAGCTTTATTGAAAGCACCTGTGTGGCATACTGTTTATTACAACAGATAATAATTTTCACTGTTGATTGTCAAAATTAGCCCCACAGTGGACTTCCAAAGTCTTCAGGGCAAGCCACTGCAGCAGAATAAATGTTAAAAGACAGTATTTTAAAAAGCGATAACAAAAGTCTGTAAGATAGGTTTTTTTTTTGGTGAAAATCCATTCAGCTCCAAGACTGCATTTATTTTATAAAATATATAGTAAAAAAGCAATATTGGGAAATATAAATACAATTTAAATGTTCAGCAGCCATTACTCCAGCCTTCAGTGTCACGTGATCCTTCAGAAATCATTCTAATAAGTAAACATTATAGGTTCATTCTAATATGTAAACATTTTTCCTTTCATTTCTACACACAAAAAAACCCCCTAACAAACAAAAAAACTAAAACAATGAACAGCACCATTCAACTACAGTACATATTTTCAACATATATCTAAAACATTTTAATATACAGTATGAAACATGTTCACGCAGGGATGAAATGATAATTTATTAAAAAAGATTCACTGAACGAATCATACTTACCAACCAATTTTTAAACTTACATGTTTAAATGTAACTTTTTTTACATGACTCTGATATGAACTGCTGCTTTATTTGCTTAAATGTGCAACAAAGAACGACCGTCTTTTCCATTTGGAAAATTATTAACCAAATAAAAAGCACATTAAAGCCATTACAATATGCACAATGTAAAATAATTAGTCAATATATCACCTACCTCAATCATCTAATTGTTTAACCTAATAAAAATGATTATAAAAACTAACAAATAAATAAATAGAACAGTATAATAATGTGAAGCTTTATGCCTCGTACACAACGGGACGACTATCGCACGCGCTTATCGGCGAAGTTTTTCGACGCGTCTTTTGTGTTCATACCCAAGCGATTTTCGCTGGCGATGAGCCGAATGAACGTGCAAATTCCCTCCCTGACATTAGATGGTGCTTGATGAAAAACAGAAATACCCCGGTACACACAGAATCCTATTTGATCTGCAATTCCTCTCCATAACAACTCCCTCTTATCGAGATTTTTGTAGTCGCTGTCGCGTTTGTCATAAAGCCCTTTGTGTTCAGACACCAATGAGACCAGCAGCTCTACATTCATCTTGCCTAGATGTATCTTCTTGGTCTACTTACTTCCGCTTCGTCGTTAGGTATCAATGTGTGCTCGGCAAGACCGTTTTGTGCTTGAGCACCACCAAGTCGTGTTTTACTGTAACTTCAGCAGCACCAGGCACGTGAACAAAAGCGCCAATCTCATTGGTCGGCCAGTTTTTAACGCGGCGCGTCAAACCAAAAAAACGAACCCGAGGCGTTTTAAAAAAAATGCCACTTTTACACCTCGCGTTTTGCGCGTTGGTGTGCACACTCACATTGGCTCCCTTTGTTTAGTCACGAGGCGTTAAACGTCGGCGATAATCGCGCGCGATATTCGTCCCGGTGTGAACAAGCCTTTAGATTGCTCTGGTATGACTCTCCAAGTGTTGGCAGCTCCAAGTGTCAACAGATGGCAGTAGTGAGCTATGCTAAACTGCAGCCCACTTGTATTGCCACTGAAAAAAGTAAAAGCAAGAGAGACCACCAACCTGTTGTCTGGGGAAAGAGAGCCCTCAGAGGACATGCCGTGGTACGGAGAAGGTGTGAAACGGGCGTCTGGGCGGAACTCCTTATCATACGCCATTACGTTCCACTCCTGCCTACGATTCCGAGCCTTACGAACCTTTTTCACCTCCCGACTGGGGTCCTCCACCTGCTTCTGCTGCTCCTGAGTGAGAGAGAGAGAGAGAATGAGAGAGGGAGAAAGAAAGGCTAGTGTTGCAAAAATCCAAGGGTTTCATCACAAATCACAATTTGGTGAAAGAGGTTTAAACTGTCAAGCTAAAAGAGCAAAGTCACACACACAGACAGTAGTGTCCACATCTTTCACTGAAAAGTGCTGTGAAGAAAGTTTTCTACATAATACAGGGAATGCATTAAACAAACACACACACGCACGCACGCACGCACACGCACAGCAGAAAAGCTAGTGAAGAGACTGTAGGGAAAGAAAGTGAATGCACAAACTGGAGTCAGCAAAGTGAGGGACTGACGGATGAATAGAAGGACTGACAGTAATGCAGGTCTCTTACAGAGGATAGGAGGGGGCTTCTGAGATGGGCCTGCCTGGAGTGGGACTTAGTCTGGTCTGAGTGAGTCTGGCCTGAGCCGCTGGTCTGGAGAGAAGGGGCAAAGTCTGGGGGAGTTAGAGCTCTCATTCATGCACACATAAAGACACATCCACTGATGGGTTTCCTTCTGCTCTCTCCTTTCCATATAAACACATAAGCTTCTGGTTTGAAGAGAGGAAATCAATTCAAGAGAAACAGTTTTTACAGGGGGCCCAGTAGTGCTATGGAAGCAAAGGGAGTTTGTCTGATGTCCTTAGTATTGTTGATAAGTTAAAGTCAATCTTAACCATGTACTGTACCATGTACAACAACACTTATTTTGGTATCAACTTGGTACCGAAGTTCAAGCATTTTTGACATCCGTAAATCAGTATGTGATTGTGGAAAGAACAGACAGCGTGAAACAGGACCATAAAGTGCACACAAAAACATATTTATGCAGTAGACACACACACACCTTCTGTCTCCTCTTTTCTTTTCTCTTGTCCTCTGTGGCTTGCAGCATTTTCTCCCTCCAGAGGTTAAAGAAGTAGGAGGGGTCTGTGTAGAACTTCAGTGCATCCTTCTTATCATCTCTAGAAAGAAAGAAAAAGAAAGAGACATATGATGGTTGCTACAATAGCATTTGCTCAGTGTAGAGCTGTAACTCTCCAAACAAACAAAACAACTTGCTAAAATGAATAGGGCTTTCAGGCATATTTGAGAGTGAGAATATTCTAGGAGAGTACACTTGATATGCAGCAAGTGATTTATCATTTTGTCACACTACACCCGAGGTGCACAAACCGGAGAAGGCGGAAATAGGAAATAAAACATGCAATTGAAACACATCTTCATTTTTATTAATTGAACATTTTAATATAATAAAGTTTTATATAATGCAACATTTACTTTCAGTCCACAGCCTTCAGTGAAGTTTGATTTTTGGCCCTTCATAGTAAAAGTTTGGGAACCTCTGTACTACAGCATTACTTGTCTTAAAATGAGTTTGTTGCTAGAAAGGTTAAACTATTTTGAAACCTGCTGAGCTGATGTTATGCTACAGAAGAAAAATATTTATTTATTTAGTCATTTAGCAGACACTTTTATCCAAAGTGACTTACAAACGAGGACAATAAAAGCAGTCAAAACTAACAAAAGAGCAACAATATATAAGTGCAAATGACAAGTCTCGGTTAGCCTAATGCAGTACACGTAGCAAGGTGTATATATATATATATATATATATATATATATATATATATATACACACACACATAAGCCCTGAGGCACCCCAGTAGCTAGATGTTGCGACTTGGACACCTCACCTCTCCAAGATACCTTGAAGGACCTATCTGAGAGGTAAGACTCAAACCACTGGCGTGCGGTTCCTGAGATGCCATTTTCCAATAGGGTTGACAGGAGAATCTGGTGGTTCACCATATCAAAAGCAGCAGACAGATCCAGCAAAATAAGTATAGAAGATTTGGAAGCCGCTCTTGCCAGTCTTAGGGCTTCAACAAATATAAGACGCAATGTTGCTACTGTTGCTATTACACAATAAGAAATGGTAGAATGTTATTTGACATGAGTTAATAATGTACAGAGAGTGAAGTGATGATGATCTCACCTGTAAGGGCTGAGAATATTGAGAGGGGGAGGTTTGTCTCCACGGTGGTAGAGCTCCAGCACAGGATTAGGGATGGAGTTTCTGGAAACCACCTGTTGGTCCTGAATGGTGGAGCTCTTGAAGGCCTTCCTCATGTTGATATCTTGCAGAGAGACTGAAGATGGGGGAGAGAGGAAGATTTCAGATTTATGCATTCATTTCATTATTGAGATTGCAAAAATGTGTAAATTTGACGTTTTTTAGTATACAGATCTAAACATTCTTAGTACAATATATTTAGCAAAGAAGAAAAAGGGCATAGGATATTAAAATTTAGAGAACAAAGAATTAACATACACTTATATAATTAAAATGTATAATAATTAAATGTGTATAATTTAATTATTATTTAAAAGTATAAAAAAATTTGTATAATTAAAATACACTTATATGAAGGTAACGGCTATTACGGACACTACCCAATAACACTGATCTGAGATCAGTTCAGTGTTTACTATATGGTGATTAAATGTGTGGTTTGACTAAGACAAACTGTCCCTTGATCATCATAAAGTGTTAAAGGGCCTTAAAGTAAAGCTGTGTGAAATTCCTGCTTAAGTCTCTTATGTGTTTGTTAAAGAAAGGATGAAGCTGTCCATGAGACAGCAGATGGTCAATCTCTTATTCACATGATCTGCTTCTCACCCTAATCAGGAATGGCACAAACATATGATAGATCAGCTGCGCATTTAAGAGCAACATCACTGCTTTGCCTGCCCTAGAGCATGTGGAGCTCCTGCCTCACAATCCCACATTTGTTTGTGTGTTTTTTTTTTTCAGTAGATGTAGCTGTTTGGCAGTGACTTCAGATGTTTTGCTTGCACAAATCAAAAACAAGTATGAGATACTGAAAAAGTGATTAATCTCAACCCATTATTAACACACAAATTAAAACTTGGGACATCACGGTCAGTCAAAAGACGTATGATAACTAATGACAATGATGATGTTACAATTGGTGTGTGACAGGTTTATATATAGATCTGAAACATTAAAGTGTGACAAACATGCAAAAAAATAAGAAATCAGGACACTTTTTCACACCACTGTATATATATATATATACATACACACACACACACCCACCCACCCACACACAAAAACTTACAAATATGTCATAATTCATATTTAAATCTAATATACAATTAAATTGAAATATACATAAATTCAATTAAAAGGAGAAAACTATGACTAAAAAGACATTGTATAAAAATTAACAGTCTGTCTCTGATAGAAAGTAGTGCAAAAGCGGAAAAGAGTTTAGAGTTTAGATATTCTGTAACATCAGTCATGCAATGATCTGACACTGTGGAAATTTATGTCTTAACTGTGGACCACTGCTAAATTATTTATTAGGTTCTTCTACATTAGTGTAGGGATTGTCTGTTACTGAGAGGGCGGGGCTTGTTTTGATGTAAAGAATGATGGACTGCCTCAATCGCCCTCTAATTATGTATGCCACAGGAGAACACACACACAATATTAAAGCACTGGCTGTGCCTCAGGGGCCACTGTACTGCTTTATTGAACATTAATAATACAAGACTGAGCATACTGGCTGATCTGATGGCAGGAATGGGGTATATGAGGTCAAACCTGGGACAACTTATAAAACAAGGTGGTTCGGCTTTTCACAATATATGTACTATGAGCCAGAATGCAATGCTGTTGTAATGGAAGAGAAAAGCCCTTTCCTTGCTTATTTGTTCAAATACCAAAAAACAGTCTGTCTAAAACAGCTATGACGTAGCTCACCCATTTAATCTTAAACCCAATCTCTGGCTTGACTATTAAAATGGTTGTCTTTTATATTAATAAGCGATTCCAGTAAGATTCACATGTAATCTAAATGTTATTGATCCAAAAAAACTGAGCAGTGTTATTTTATTATCATTAAGTTACTATTATAGTTTTTAATACTATTTTGAATTAAGTTTTAGGTTTTAAGTTAACATTTTAGTATTTATTTTGTAATTTTTATCATAATTTTTTTTTTAATTGTTTAAATGTTTAATTTTAGTTCTTTTATTACACTGTTAAACTTAATGACAATAAGAAATGATGTTTTAGCAACTCGCTGAAAAAAGATTGATTTTTGTTTGTTTTAGATAACTATAATAACCCTGGCTCTAAGACATTAATATCCAATGAGGCACTGCTCTATAATATACAGCTCTACAAATCACACACGTCCTCTATTTTATTGATTTTTTTCTCATTTTGTTTGTATCTCTAAATGCCTCTTTTGTCCTTGTGCGCAGTCTGTTCGAGTGCAAAAGAAGCTCAGTTTTGAGTCTGGATGGCTGGTTATAAATTAATAATTAGAACGGACATTAAGAGGGGGATGGGGTGACATTTTTGGATCAGACACAACCATGAATGCCAGCAAACCCCATCACCCTTTCTGGTAACACACACACACACACACACACACACACACACACAATATTCTGTCACTTCCTCTCTGTGAGATGTCTCGATATTCAGACATTCTTCTCCTCCTCCCACTCCCCACTTCCCAACCCTGCATTCTACATGCAGCACACATAAACCCCAGATCACCATCAGGTCAGACAGACACACACATTAGAAAGCTATAAACACACACACACGGCCCAGAAACCACACGCTGTGCATTCCCAGCAGGCTTTGCTCTCGGTGTGGTTGAGAGGTCATCGCTCACTGTGAATCAGGTGATAATGGAACGCTCAGACTTTAAAAGAAACGTCGATGTGTCTTCTCCGTAAGTGAGGGGTCACGGGGGAGCTGGAACATATTAAACCCTCTTTATCGGCTCTCCAGTTATCAATCACAGCTGGGCGGAATGTTTTAAATAGACGAGTACATCGTTAGAACATGTAAAGTGGCCCTAATCTTGATTTTGCATCTGGACAGGGTGTTTACAGATAAGAATCTCTTCTCTTATGTCCATCAAACACACAGCCTGACATCAGAGTCGTGCTGTGCTCTGCTATCTGCTTCATTTTTTGAGACAAGAGACGGTGCCACCAGGCACTGGATTTTTCTATTCCGCAGAGAGAAGAACAAAAGAAAGAGATGAGAGGAGTTAGAGGGAGGAGTAAAGTGATACAGTTTGATCTCTCTCTCTTTCATGGCAAAGAAAGCTGGGTCATCCCGCTAACTACAGGCTAAAAGAAGACCATTATAGAGAACAGCACTCGAAGGCAAACGCACTCTCTCTCAGCTGCTAGCTGCTACAGCTGAAAGCTTGATAAGATCTGGAGATGATGCAGAGATTAAGCTTAACGTGTGATGTTACCCTCTTCCACTGTGGAGTCCAGTTGGGTGACTTTGATAGCCAGCAGGTCCACTCTCTCTTGCAGGTTATTCATACGCATGTAGAAACTGTTGGCTTCATTAAACAGCTCTCCAAAGATGTCCTCTGCGTGACGACCTGCAAGACAGAAGGCAACAGAAGCTAAGAGAACGGCGTACTGAAAAGATCAACTGAATTTCCATGCTAGGTTGGGTGTTGGTCGAGCTAGTGGTCTAGCACAGTGATGCTATTCATCACCAAATCTTGGTCAAGCTGGTGGACCAGAATGATGCTTTCTGACTTATTTCAACAGGCAACATATGAAAGATTATATAAAGAACAAACAATTCAATACAACTAAAAAAAGAGAGAAAAGCAGGGTGCCACTCACTCAGGCTGCCCAGTTGTTTGATGATGGCTGCCAGGGTGCTGTTGGTGACACACTCCAGTTCACTGGGCACTCCATCAGGCAGAGCTCCTCGACACAGGTGCTTGGGCTCGATACTCCTCTTCACCAGCGGCATGACTGACTACTGCTGAGAGAGAGAAATAGGAAGACCCATTAAGACACTTAATGAACTCAAACACCTAATGAGGAGGTATATTTCCGGAATTAATTTAAACTGAGAATATACACACACACATACAGTTAGGAAAAAAATATTTAGTTTTTAAAACGTCATAATTTGTAAAAGTATATAAGAATTTCTTGAACTGACTTTTAATTTTACTATACATTTATTGTTTTTTTAATTGTTAAAATAGATTAACTATTAAAATAGCTATAAAACAAACAGATTTAACCTGAGAATTGTCACAGCCAATATAAAAATAAGACATTTAAGAGAAAAATATATTTTAAATTATGTTTTTTAAGTTCAGGATAGGTTTTATTTAGATTTCATCTTTTAAAATGCATATGATAATTTCCTTGATTCACTTACAACATAAACTATATTTTTCACTTAAAATTAGTTGCTGAAAATTAGTAACTATAATATACTACAAAATTATAACTCAATGAAAGCTTTGAATGAAAGCTTACACACGCTGAAATAACAAGCAAAAACAATGGCATACATTGCAAAATATGCGATTTGCTTGATGCTCCTAATATTCCAAAAGTCATTTAACCAAAAACCGTGTTAGTCATTTAGATAATGTTAAATATGTCAAATAAAACCAAATGTTTAAGTTTGTATAAGTTTAACACATCCGTCAAAGCAGCACTGGTCCAACAAGGCAAGTGACCGTATAATCAACTGACCCAAAACTCTGCCACACAGCCCTGGGACATCCTCAATGTTGAGCCCTGTTTTTAGTCTGTTTACTGAGTGTACAAATGAAAGCCAATGTAAAGGTAAAAGTGTTAGTATGAAATTTTAAATCAGTTCTATAAAATCAAATCTCACAATGTAATATGGTTACATTGTCTTTTCGGTTGAGCCAGCATGCCTTAAGCATTCTGTGCTGATTAATCATTCACCTGTATTTAATACAGACGTCTGACATAAGTGGGCCAGTTTCAAAAAAAGGACCTACTGTGGTCTGTTCCTGTTTACAGACCACCAATGACCACAGACAAACGCTAATAAAGACAGTCACTGGCATCACACACACTGATGCAGGCACAATGGTTCAGTGACCTGGGCACACAGACAACATCGCCTGGCAACTAAAGCGGATGAGTATGCTGCTAATGAGACATGAAAAGAGCACTGTTATAGCCCGGTGGGACAGCAGACGTGTGTGTGTTCCCCTGCTTTCTTTGTGTGTCTAGTTATTATTTCAGTCTGAAAGTGATTGGAAAACCAGATTGCAAAGGTTAACAAACCTATTAAACTATATGACTATTCAAAAGTTTAGGGGCCGTATTTTTTATTTTAAAGAGAAATACTTTTTACAAAAGATATCTATTTAAAATAAATGCTGCTCTTTTTAATGTTCTATTCATCAAGTAATCCAAAAAAAGGTCAAATGTCAAATCATGGATTTCACAAACATTAAACATTATGAATTTTTTCATTTTTTTCCCATGAGCTTTTCATTTAATTCTGCTCTCACAGTTTGAAGCAGACACGGCCTGTCCAATTTAATGAACAACAACATGTGAATTTTTCCACTGGAATACACTTGAAATCGCTTGTATCTTGTCTTTTTTCACAGGGACACTTTAAAACTATTTTCTCCCCAATTCTTCACTTCTAACTACACTAGCATTTTTTACTATGTGGAAATCTTTTACTATGGGAATAAAATGCGACCATATACTGTATATTATATATGTCAATAACGGAAGGTATTTTAAATTATGTGTCAATGTTTTTTTAAATGTCATTATGATGGAATATTCTTCCTGCTTTTCATCAAGTGCTGGCACACACACCATCATAACAATTACACAGCAGTTCAATAACTGATCACTTTGCACTAAAACATTCACTCTTTTTCAATCTGTCTTCTCTGAATCTCTCGGCCTGCTCATGAATAAAGCAGCAGAGCTGAGTGAGACTGTAGAGGCGCAGGGCTGTAATCCTCACTCCCTCGAGCGTTCGGCTGGACTGTGTGAAGTGTAAGTAACAAAAGGATGGGTTAATGGAGAGAGAGAGAGAGAGAGAGAGAGAGAGAGAGAGAGAGAGAGAGAGAATATGTGAGAGAGAGAGAGAGAGAGAGAGAGAGAGAGAGAGAGAGAGAGAGAGAGAGAGAGAGAGAGAGAGAGAGAGAGAGAGAGAATATCTGTCTGTGTTTTTTGGGGGAATGAAAGGACACATCAGACTCTCTCAAAACCCTGTGAACTGCCTGCCCACATTTACATTCATGCATTCGACTTTCAGAGAATTCATGATATGCATTTTATCAGCATGTCCCTGAGACTCAAACTCATGACCTTGGCATTGCTAGTGCACTGCCCTGCCAGTAGAGCTACAAGAATGCTACCTACCTAGACAGTTTTGTTTGCTGCTGACTCATTACACCTCTATGATTCTCAAATATGCTGTTTAAGCAGGTAGATCTCAACGAATTGAGACACAGACACTGATACTAACACCATGTCCCAACCTGGCATGAAGTAACACATTTTATTGAAACTGCTGTGCAAATTGACACAATCTCGGCCAATCAGAATCATTCCATCAGAATATGTCTGATGTTTAATAAAATACAGTTAGGTGGCTTTTGGACCAATAAGATTTAACTGTGGGTAGGACTACCCGTCACAAACCATGCAAAAATGTGATTAACATGGAAGAAATAGCATTTATTGATTTTCGTTTGGTTGTGTTTTGCCTGGTTATATTTAAAAGTTAAGAGAAATTTCGGTAACATTTATTTTAAGGTCCAATTCTCACTGTTAACAAACCATTAACTACAACTTTTGCCTCAATGAACTCCTAATTTGTTGCTTATTAATAGTTAGTAAGGTAGTTGTTGAGTTTAGGTATTGGGTATGATTAGGGATGTAGAATTAGAATATGGTCATGCAGAACATGTGCTTAATAAGTACTAATAAACAGCCAATATGGCAATAATAGGCATGTTAATAAACAACTAGTTAATAGTGAGAATTGGTCCCTAAAATGTTACCGAACTTGTTGCCAAAATGTTACCATACTTAATAAAATTGCCTAGTCAAAAATATAATTACAGGCTCTTTTCAAGCCATTTAGGGTTAAAATGTATGAATAAAATAAAATGTATATATAAAAAAAACTTTTCTTTATTTCAGGGAGTTGCCAAAGCATAATTTTTCATTTTCATTTAGTTTAACTTGATGTACTAAAATCAACAGAAAACAACATAAATAAAAAAAATGATTAATAAAGACTATAGACATATTTGAGAATCGAGAAAATAAAAATAAAAACTAATTCAAAATACTAAAAACTATAATAGTATCTCGACGATACTAGTCACTTGATATATGAAACAACTTGAATTCTTAGACACAAACGGTTGAAAAAATTTGATGGTGAGAATTATGGGAAACAGAGAAAAAGCAGTGAATGAAAGAGAGAGAGAGTGTGAGAGAGAGTGTGTGAGAGAGAGCGAGAGAGAGAGTGTGTTTGAGAGAGAGAGAGAGAGAGAGAGAGAGAGAGAGAGAGGTTTAAAAAATCTTTAATAAATCAAAAGATTGCGCACTTGGCACAACAATATAAAA